CCCCGTCAACGTTACTAGGGGATAGTCAGTCCCTCCTTCAGCGTTGCTACGGGGTAGTCAGTCCCTCCTTCGGCGTTGCTAGGGGGTAGTCAGTCCCCGTCAACGTTACTAGGGGATAGTCAGTCCCTCCTTCAGCGTTGCTAGGGGGCAGTCAGTCCCTCCTTCAGCATTGCTAGGGGGCAATCAGTCCCTCCTTCAGCGTTGCTAGGGGTAGTCAGGCCTGAGGGACTGACCACTTGTGTATTCATCAGCTTGCCGGTGTTATAATCCATCAATAATAATGATACTTGACTTTACTGGATTAATTCTAGGTAGAATTCTATGATATATTTTGCACAATCATCATAAAACACTTATATTAGGTAAGAGATTGAGTTTATTTAGGTACAGGCAAACATAAGTAGTTACACAAATTTAAGTGGCTAGTAGGTACCACACATAGTAACATCTAGGCTGGAATATTGCTGCACTCTAACAGCACCTTTCAAGGCAGGTGAAATTGCCGACCTAGAAAATGTACAGAGAACCTTCACGGCGCGCATAACGGAGATAAAACACCTCAATTACTGGGAGCGCTTGAGGTTTCTAAACCTGTATTCCCTGGAACGCAGGAGGGAGAGATACATGATTATATACACCTGGAAAATCCTAGAGGGACTAGTACCGAACTTGCACACGAAAATCACTCACTACGAAAGCAAAAGACTTGGCAGACGATGCACCATCCCCCCAATGAAAAGCAGGGGTGTCACTAGCACGTTAAGAGACCATACAATAAGTGTCAGGGGCCCGAGACTGTTCAACTGCCTCCCAGCACACATAAGGGGGATTACCAACAGACCCCTGGCAGTCTTCAAGCTGGCACTGGACAAGCACCTAAAGTCAGTTCCTGATCAGCCGGGCTGTGGCTCGTACGTTGGTTTGCGTGCAGCCAGCAGCAACAGCCTGGTTGATCAGGCGCTGATCCACCAGGAGGCCTGGTCACAGACCGGGCCGCGGGGGCGTTGACCCCCGAAACTCTCTCCAGGTAAACTCCAGGTAATGTGTAAATTACCTAGGATAACCCCCAAAATATGTAAATTACCTAGGATAACTCCCAAAAATATGTAAATTACCTAGGATAACCCCCAAAATATGTAAATTACCTAGGATAACTCCCAAAAATATGTAAATTACCTAGGATAACCCCCAAAATATGTAAATTACCTAGGATAATCCCCCAAAACATGTAAATTACCTAGGATAACCCCCAAAATATGTAAATTACCTAGGATAACTCCCAAAAATATGTAAATTACCTAGGATAACCCCCCAAAATATGTAAATTACCTAGGATAACCCCCAAAATATGTAAATTACCTAGGATAACCCCCAAAATTATGTAAATTACCTAGGATAACCCCCAAAATATGTAAATTACCTAGGATAACCCCCAAAATATGTAAATTACCTAGGATAACTCCCAAAAATATGTAAATTACCTAGGATAACCCCCCAAAATATGTAAATTACCTAGGATAACCCCCAAAATATGTAAATTGCCTAGGATAACCCCCAAAATTATGTAAATTACCTAGGATCATCCCCCAAATATGTAAATTACCTAGGATAACCCCCAAAAATATGTAAATTACCTAGGATAACCCCCAAAATATGTAAATTACCTAGGATAACCCCAAAAAATGTGTAAATTACCTAAGATAACCCCCAAAATATGTAAATTACCAAGGATAACCCCCAAAATATATAAATTACCTAGGATAACACCCAAAAATGTGTAAATTACCTAGGATAACCCCCAAAATATGTAAATTACCTAGGATAACACCAAAAATACGTAAATTACCTAGGATAACCCCCAAAATATGTAAATTACCTAGGATAACCCCGAAAAATATGTAAATTACCTAGGATAACCCCCAAAATTATGTAAATTACCTAGGATAATCCCCCAAAATATGTAAATTACCTAGGCTAACCCCAAAAAATGTGTAAATTACCTAAGATAACCCCCAAAATATGTAAATTACCTAGGATAACCCCCAAAATATGTAAATTACCTAGGATAACCCCCAAAAATGTGTAAATTACCTAGGATAACCCCCAAAATATGTAAATTACCTAGGATAACACCAAAAATACGTAAATTACCTAGGATAACCCCCAAAATATGTAAATTACCTAGGATAACTCCCAAAAATATGTAAATGACCTAGGATAACCCTCAAAATTATGTAAATTACCTAGGATAATCCCCCAAAATATGTAAATTACCTAGGATGACCCCCAAAAATATGTAAATTACCTAGAATAACCCCAAAAATATGTAAATTACCTAGGATAACCCCCAAAAATATGTAAATTACCTAGGATAACCCCCAAAATATGTAAATTACCTAGGATAACCCCACAAAATATGTAAATTACCTAGGATAACCCCAAAAATATGTAAATTACCTAGGATAACCCCAAAATATGTAAATTACCCTAGCTTTGCTAGGGGGCAGTCAGTCCCTCCTTCAGCGTTGCTAGGGGGTAGTCAGTCCCCGTCAACGTTACTAGGGGATAGTCAGTCCCTCCTTCAGCGTTGCTAGGGGGCAGTCAGTCCCTCCTTCAGCATTGCTAGGGGGCAATCAGTCCCTCCTTCAGCGTTGCTAGGGGTAGTCAGGCCTGAGGGACTGACCACTTGTGTATTCATCAGCTTGCCGGTGTTATAATCCATCAATAATAATGATACTTGACTTTACTGGATTAATTCTAGGTGGAATTCTATATGATATATTTTGCACAATCATCATAAAACACTTATATTAGGTAAGAGATTGAGTTTATTTAGGTACAGGCAAACATAAGTAGTTACACAAATTTAAGTGGTTAGTAGGTACCACACATAGTAACATATGTGTAAATTACCTAGGATAACCCCCAAAATATGTAAATTACCTAGGATAACTCCCAAAAATATGTAAATTACCTAGGATAACCCCCAAAATATGTAAATTACCTAGGATAATCCCCCAAAATATGTAAATTACCTAGGATAATCCCCCAAAATATGTAAATTACCTAGGATAACCCCCAAAATATGTAAATTACCTAAGATAACCCCAAAAATACGTAAATTACCTAGGATAACCCCCAAAAATATGTAAATTACCTAGAATAACCCCAAAAATATGTAAATTACCTAGGATAACCCCCCAAAATATGTAAATTACCTAGGATGACCCCGAAAATATGTAAATTACCTAGGATAACCCCAAAAAATGTGTAAATTACCTAGGATAACCCCCCAAAATATGTAGATTACCTAGGATAACCCCCAAAATATGTAAATTACCTAGGATAACCCCCAAAAATGTGTAAATTACCTAGGATAACCCCCAAAATATGTAAATTACCTAGGATAACCCCAAAAATACGTAAATTACCTAGGATAACCCCCAAAATATGTAAATTAGCTAGGATAACCCCCAAAAATATGTAACTTACCTAGGATAACCCCCAAAATTATGTAAATTACCTAGGATAATCCCCCAAAATATGTAAATTACCTAGGATGACCCCCAAAAATATGTAAATTACCTAGAATAACCCCAAAAATATGTAAATTACCTAGGATAACCCCCAAAAATATGTAAATTACCTAGGATAACCCCCAAAATATGTAAATTACCTAGGATAACCCCCAAAAATGTGTAAATTACCTAGGATAACCCCCAAAATATGTAAATTACCTAGGATGACCCCCAAAAATATGTAAATTACCTAGAATAACCCCAAAAATATGTAAATTACCTAGGATAACCCCCAAAATATGTAAATTACCTAGGATAACCCCCAAAATATGTAAATTACCTAGGATAACCCCAAAATATGTAAATTACCTAGGATAACCCCAAAATATGTAAATTACCTAGGATAACCCCCAAAATATGTAAATTACCTAGGATAACCCCCAAAAATATGTAAATTACCTATGATAACCCCAAAAATATGTAAATTACCTAGGATAACCCCAAAATATGTAAATTACCTAGGATAACCCCCAAAATATGTAAATTACTTAGGATAACCCCCAAAATATGTAAATTACCTAGGATAACCCCAAAAATATGTAAATTACCTAGGATAACCCCAAAATATGTAAATTACCTAGGATAACCCCAAAAATATGTAAATTACCTAGGATAACCCCAAAATATGTAAATTACCTAGGATAACCACAAAATATGTAAATTACATAGGATAACCCCAAAAAATTAGTCAAACGAATTGAATTTCTATTTGGTTCCTTGTTATATTTTATTATTAAAGCCAAACGGACAAGTATTTCCTGACATTGGTTTTAGTCACATGATGACCCGCAGCTGGAGCTTTTGGTCATCTGACCGAGGCCTTCCGCTGGCTTACCCTCCACCCCTTTGAAAATTATGGCCATAGTCATAACCATTTTTTGGTAAGTTATAAGATACAACAAAAATGGTTCATTATGGCGTAGTGAGAGCAACGTGAGGCTACGACCATTAATGACTAACTTATTCTAGGACAGAAACTAGGTGAACTAACATCAAAACATTTATGATGTATGTTGTATGTGCTCCCCAGTACATATAAATACAGCTGTGTACATTACCCAGGATAACCCCAAAAAAAATCAGTAACATTTCTCTTCGGGTCGGTGTAATATATTATTTAAAGTTTAAATATTAAAATAGCTAAGTAACTCAACTGTATAAAAATCAGTAACAATAAGGGATAATATGTCAAGTAATAAACCCTGAGACACGTTCAACTATCAGATTTACATAAAGCTGAACCTGAGGGTTTGCTGTCCCAGCGTGATGGTGGTCGTAATATCTAGCATTATAGTGAGCAAGTGATGCGATATAGGAGGTCCTGAAGCGAGGAAGATGATAGTGAAGGAAGCTGGGAAGGTGAGAGTGAGGGAAGTGAGGAAGATGATAGTGAAGGTAGAGAGAAATGTGATAATATCATACCGTGGTGAGTATGGAGGTGGAGTCAGGACGGCTGGTGTCTGCCATTATTGAGTCAGTGTAGAGCTGCTACGTGTCCTGGTTGTACTGGCTACTACACCCACCTACACTTCTCCACACACCCACAACACACTCCACATTTAAGAATTCACGTTAGACACCAACACGACACATAGCCAGCAGGTAGTTCCACAACGACCACTTCTAATAGCACTTCCACGACACATACGGGATGTATCACTCGCCAGGGACACACGCAAGATACACTCGTTTAACACTGTATAACAGCAAGTGGATGCAAGTGGTTCAATGAACCTGTAGCAGCAGCAACGTACGTCCTGCCTCCAGCCAAGCTTGTCAACTAATGCCGACGTGTCGGCCCCACAGCCGGCCTTTATATGTGGCGGGGCTCCCCAGCCTTAATATATAGCTTCTCACAAGAGAGCTTCACTGTCCTCTCTCCCTCATACTCCCTCATACTCCCTCATACCACTCTTATCATAACACACTTGAGTGTTGCTGTCTCTGTGTGTACTCAGTACACACAACAGCCTGCACCGGCACACCTCCCACTGCAAATGAACGACCACGATGGAAATCAAGAACCCCAACGAAAATCTAGGACCCCCAACGGAAATCAAGGACTCCAATGGAAATCAAGAACCCTCAGTGGAAATCAAGAACTCCAATGGAAATCAAGAATCCCAATGGATATCAAGGAATCCAATGGAAATCAAGAACCCCCAATGGAAATCAAGAATCCCAATGGAAATCAAGAATCCCAATGAAAATCAAGAACCCCCAATGGAAATAAAGAATCCTAACGGAAATCAAGGATTCCATTGGAAATCAAGAACCCCCAGTGGAAATCAAGAATCCCAATGGAAATCAAGGACTGCAATGGAAAAACCAAGGGCCCAATGGAAAATAAAGGATTCCACTAGAAAATTCAATAACACGAATGGGAATATCAAGGACCCCAATGCAAATATCAAGGACCCCAATGTAAATTCAAGGAGCCCAATGGATATTCAAGGACCTCAATGAAATATCAAGGACCCCAATGGATATTCAAGGACCTCAATGGAAATATCAAGGACCCCAATGGATATTCAAGGACCTCAGTGGAAATATCAAGGACTCCAATGGATATTCAAGGACCTCAATGGAAATTCAAGAACCCCAATGGAAATATCAAGGACCCCACTAGAAATATCAAGGACCCCAATGGAAATATCAAGGACCCCAATGGAAATAAGTAACTTTTAACTTTTTGGGGGGTTATCTTAGATAATTTACACTATACCTTTGAAGAGTTTCGAGAGTTTATCTACTCTCCGAGCCCGGCCATGGGTCAGGCTCGTCTGGTGCTTGCCTGGTCAACCACGCTGTTTCTGCTGGAGGCACGCTGCCCCACATATCCATCACAGCCTGGCTGATCTGGCACCTGGTGAAAATACTTGTCCAGTTTCCTCTTGAATGCTTCTACACTTGTTCCAGCCATGTTTCTGATATTTTCTGGTAAGATGTTGAATAGTCTGGGACCCTGGATGTTGATACAGTGTTCCCTTATTGTCCTCACCGCACCCCTACTTCTCACTGGGTTTATTTTACACTTATGTGTACATGTACCTATATAAACTTATGGTCCAGCCTATGATCTCTTCCATATACAGTCCTGCTTCATTATAGGCTCTATCCTACTAACGTGTAAGTGAAACTCTACAGTTTAAGTGTGTCTACGTTTGTGTACTCACCTATTTGTAGTTACGGGGGGAAGGGGGGAGCCTAGGCTCCAGGCATGTACTCACCTATTTGTGGTTGCAGGGGTCGGGTCGTAGCTCCTTGCCCAGGCTCTTCGATGGTCGTGTGTTCCAGTGAAAGTACACATTCCTATTTATATAAGGCAAGTTAGGCTAGCGGAATCTCGTCTTCGTTATATATATATATATATATATATATATATATATATATATATATATAATATATATATATATATATATATATATATATATATATATATATATATATATATATAAGAACATAAGAACGAAGGAACACTGCAGAAGGCCTACTGGCCTATGCGAGGCAGGCCCAAGTCTCCTACCGGCTTAAGCCAATGCACCCAACCTAGTCAGGTCAGGTCACATTGACTTAAAGGAGGAACACGGCAACCGACCTGGTAGCACAAGCTATCAGGTCCAACTCACACCCACCCACATCCACTCATGTATTTATCCAACCTATTTTTAAAGCTACACAACGTTCTGGCCTCTATAACTGTACTCGGGAGTTTGTTCCACTCATCCACAACTCTATTACCAAGCCAGTACTTTCCTATATCCTTCCTGAATCTGAATTTTTCCAACTTAAAACCATTGCTGCGAGTCCTGTCTAGGCTAGATATTTTCAGCACACTATTTACATCCCCTTTATTTATTCCTGTCTTCCATTTATACACCTCAATCATATCCCCCCTAATTCTACGTCTTTCTAGAGAGTGCAGATTCAGGGCCCTTAGTCTATCCTCATAGGGAAGGTTTCTGATACATGGGATCAACTTTGTCATCCTCCTTTGTACATTTTCCAGAGAATTTATATCCATTCTGTAATACGGTGACCAAAACTGTGCAGCATAATCTAAATGAGGCCTAACCAAGGATGTATAGAGTTGAAGAACAACCTGAGGACTCCTATTATTTATGCTTCTTGATATGAAGCCAAGGATTCTATTACCTTTATTGCGAACACTTATGCACTGTTGTCTTGGTTTCAGATTACTGCTAACCAGAACTCCTAAATCTTTTTCGCAATCCGTAATATTAAGATCTACATTATTTACTCTATATGTGGCATGGTTATTGTTCTGTCCAACATTTAGAACTTTGCATTTGTCTATATTAAACTGCATCTGCCACTTCTCCGACCACTGCATCAGTCTATTCAAATCTTCCTGGAGTGCTCGAATGTCCTCGTCAGAATGAATTCGACGGCCTATTTTTGGTGTCATCGGCAAACTTGCCGATGTCGCTCTTTATGCCCTCATCTATGTCGTTTATGTAGATTGTGAACAGCAGGGGGCCCAACACTGACCCCTGTGGAACACCGCTCGTGACGCTTCCCCACTCTGATTTCTCCCCATTTATGCAAACTCTCTGCTGCCTATTTGTCAACCATGCCTCTATCCAGGAAAAAATTTCTCCTATTCCATGTGCCTTAATTTTCCTCAATAGTCTCTGTTGTGGGACCCTGTCAAAAGCCTTACTGAAGTTCATATACACAATATCATATTCATTACCATGATCTACCTCCTCAAATACCTTAGTGAAAAAAGTTAATAAATTCGTAAGGCAGGAATGCCCCTTTGTAAAACCATGCTGAGATTCGTTGATTAATTTATGCTTTTCAAGGTGGCTACGAACTGCCTCGGCAATTATTGATTCCATAAATTTTCCCACTATGGAGGTTAGGCTTATTGGTCTATAGTTCGAAGCTAAGGACCTGTCACCTGTTTTGAAAATAGGTATCACATTTGCCATTTTCCACTTATCTGGCACCATGCCAGTTTGTAGTGATATGTTGAAAAGATTAGCCAAAGGTGTGCTAAGCTCCTCTTTACATTCCTTTAGAACCCTTGCATACAGTTCATCAGGGCCTGGGGATTTGTTAGGTTTTAATTTATCTATTTGCCTAAGGACCATGTCACTTGTGACCCTAATCGTGCACAGTTTATTGTCGTCCTGTTCTACATAATTTATCATTACTGGAATATCGCTGGTATCCTCATGTGTAAAAACTGAGAGGAAGTATGTGTTAAAACTTCTACACATTTCCTTATCACTGTCAGTGAGCTGACCCGAGGAACTTTTGAGTGGGCCTATCTTGTCCCTGATCTTACTTCTGTATACCTGAAAGAATCCTTTTGGGTTAGTCTTCGATTCTCTTGCAACTTTAACCTCATAATTCTCTTTTTGCTTTTCTAATTCCCTTTTTTATTTCTCTCTTTAACTGAATATATCGATTTCTTAATTGCCCCTCTCCTCTTTTGATTTGCCTATATATGCCTCTCTTTTGACCAATCAGATATTTTAATCTATTGTTCATTCATTTAGGATCATTTTTGTTTGATCTGATTTCCCTATTTGGAACATAATTTGACTGAGCAGCTAGAACTATGCCCTGGAAAGCATCATATCGGCAACCATCACCACCTACCTGACCCTTAGTCAGGTCATTCCAGTTCAGCCCACCTAAGTAATTTTTCAGTCCTATGAAATCAGCCAAGCGAAAGTCAGGGACGGAGACTTGATTGCCATTATTAGGGAAATTCCATGATATATTAAAACTGAGTGATTTGTGATTACTTTCCCCAAGCTCATCATTAACCTCAAGATTATTAATTAGTGTTTCCCTACTGGCAAGAACCAAGTCAAGGAGGTTATTTCCTCTAGTTGGCTCTGTCACAAACTGTTTTAAAAAACAATCCTGGATCGTATCAAGAAAGTCACCTGACTCTAAATTTCCTGTCAAATTGCTCCAGTCAATCTGTCTATAGTTGAAATCTCCCATTAGCACAACATTTTCGTATGTAGATGCCTTACGAATTTCGTCCCATAGAAGTTTACTTCAAGATTTGGGGCCCTGTAAATCACACCCAAAATTAGTTTTTCTCGACCCTCGAGAAGTTGTAACCAAACAGATTCAGTGGCTGACGCTTCTACTTTTATATCTTGTCTAACACAACAATTTAAATTGTCTCTGACATAAATCGCTACTCCACCACCCTTCCTGTTGACCCTGTCAGTGTGGAATAATTTATAGCCTTGTATGTGACATTCAGAGGGCATCTCTCTATCTTTCAGATTGAACCAGGTCTCTGTTATAGCAATAATATCTATGTTTCCTGCACTTGCAATTAATCTTAGCTCATCTATCTTATTTCTTACACTCCTTCTGTTAGTATAGTAAACCTTAAGGGAGCTAGTCCCTTGCTGTCCTCTGCTGTCCCCCTTTGTTTGCTGACCTGATCTATTGTCTTTATTTATAACTTCATGCTGAATGCCTTTTATACATTTACTGATTCCAACCCTAGTGTTGCAACCTGCTTGTTTCCCACACACACCCATACCTCTATCTTCTATCAGTTTAAAATCATAGGCATTTCACCAATGGCCTTCTCAATTGAGTTTGCAAGTGCTACCACCCCAGCCCCAGAGAGATGTACCCCATCCCTTGCATACATATCATGTTTGCCATAAAAGTTGTTCCAGTTGTCAATGAATGGGATTGCAAGTTCCTTGCAGTATCTGTCTAGCCAGCAATTTACACCAATTGCCCTAGACAACCATTCATTGCCCACTCCCCTTCTAGG